TCCTCTTTTCTGTCTCTCTGTCTCTGTCTTTTTGGCGAGCGCACACGCCCTATAGCAAAAACCTCTCCAAAAAAAAAAAAAAAGAAAAATGAGCCACATGAGTTTTCCAAACCCACCTTGCAAGGAAGGTCCTTTCTTGGTTAAATAACAATCGTTCTAATTGTTATAATTCAATACATACATTTAAATATATTTATCATTATCAACATTTTGGAGCCTTATGTAATGCAGAATATTAATCAATATTTATGTTTTTGGTGTAGATTATAGGTGCCTAACTTCATGGTTGTACTTTTCCCTGAATTAGGTAGTCTGAAGTCATGATGTATTTTTCTGTTTTTCTATGCAAAAACATATCACGACTTTTTCTATAACCCAACATATATATATATATAGTGAGTCTTTTATTCCCTTTGCTCCAAGAAGGATCAAACTATGAATATTCTACATTTCAGTCTTTCTCCATATTATTTCCTTCAAAAGTACTTAAAAATAATATATTCACTCAAAATCAGCATATAATTTTTTAAAGAATTATTTTATTTTCATTTTATTCATCATTACTTTTAAATCTTTGGCTAGAGAGAGAGAGGGAAAGTCAGAAAGCAAGCCACCAGGTCTGGGACTCAAACAGTGGTTGGCCATGTGGGAGTCCAGAGCCTTAAAACCCATGCCACCTGCCGGCCCAATCAGCAATAATTTAAGAGATGTTTATTGTAGAATTTTACCAACATTGACAATAAAGTGGATGTTTAACACCAATATTCCTAGCGACTAAAGTTTTGGTATATGATACTATGAAGTACAGAGCCTTCTCTGATGGCTAAAAATCGTAACAGTAGCATCACCAACAACAGTGGTACTAATAAAGATGGCTCACCTCTCTAAGGATTTAATGTGCCAAGCACTATGCTGTGCACTTTGGATTCATTACTACATTTCATCTTCATAATAACTCCATAAATGAGGTCCTATTACAGGTTGAGCATCCCTAATCCAAAACTTTGAAATCCAAAATGCTCCAAAATTAAAAATTTTTAGAGCGCTGACATGATGCCACAATTGAAACTTCTACCCCTCACCTCATGTGGTAGGTTGCAATTAAATGTAGGCGTACAATACACAGTTTACTCAGTGTCCCTAAGGGGGAAAAAAAGACCCTCCCAACTCTCTTCAGTTGTAATTTATCTTTTCTGTGCACACCCAAATTTCCCCCCATAAGTATATCCACAAAGGTTTTCATGCAATAAAATATTAAAAATATTGTATGTAATTACTTTCAGGCTAAGTGTAAAAGATGTACATGAAATGTAAATGAATTTTATGTTTAGACTTTGGTCTTCAAGCTATCTCATTATGTACATGCAATATTCCAAAATTTGAAAAAAAAAATCCAAAATCTGAAACACTCCAGTCTCAAACATCTCAGATAAGGGTTATTCAACCTGTTATCCCCATTTGTACGTGAGGTAACCATGGTGTAAATCAGCAGAGTAATTTGCTCAACATCATACAACAAAGAAAGTTGGAAGCCACTCAAGTCTAACTCCTGATGCAATACCCAAGTATCATAACATCACAAAGTATTCAGTCTAGAATATAGCTTAGTGACTTCCTACTCCAACTTTCCATTTTCTACTCAATCAATTTTGACTCAAAGTGACCCATCAATCACAGCCTTATTAGAAGAAAACTTGTGAATAAAAATGAGGCTTAGGTCCTGGTGAGGATCATGTTCCCCCTACAAAGTACCTTCCAAGGAACAGCAAATCTAGGAAACCTTCTCCAAGATGGTGCAGTGAAAGGATATCATCACAGACCTGGCTGGAAGAGCCATGAATCCAGGCTATGGGGCTCACTTATTCTACAGAAGGTCACAGCATAGGTGCAGGGAAATGAGATTAAAAGACAAAGATGTGGGAAATTGAGGTATTTTCCATGTTCACCATACTTCAGGAGGATTTAAGCCTTTCATTTTTTTGAGAGGTTTTTGCTATAGGGCACATGCGCTTGCCAGAAAGAGAGAGACAGAGAGATAGAAAGCGAGAAATCACCCCCCAGGGGGGGATGGCCACACCGCAATCCCTTCTCCTCCATTCTCCTCTCGGGATCTTGGCCACGCACACACATGCGCCCGGCGTGAGTTTAAGGCACCGGGTCTGGGATTCAAACCACGGTCAACTACATGGGAGTCCAGCGACATAGCCATTATGCTAACTGCTGGTCCCGGATTTAAGCCTTTCTACCCAGATGAACAACCTAAGGCCCCAAGAGATGAGATTTGCTTAAGCTCCCAAAGCTGGTCAGAGGCAAAGAACAGATTAGGAACCAGGTCTCTTGACTTCTAGAGGACTTTCTGCCAAATCAAGCTTTCTGAATATGTTAGGTATGCCCCTAATCCTCCACTTTCTTCTTGACTATCATGCAGGCATTAAGAAACCATGGGCAAGATTATCTTGTGGGTAATCAGCTGAGCTGGGCTGATATACAACTCCTTGAAGTCATCTTAATGGCTGAAGAGTGCAAACCCAATGTCCTTTCAGGCTTCCCTCTGCTACAGGTAATGCTATCCAAATAGCTCCAAAAACTGCAGGGAGAATGAATTTGTATCATTTGTTTATGTTTTCATCCAGTCATTCATCATCATTTAAGAGCTAACTTCTTTTTTTTAAAGAATTATTTTATTTAACTTTATTTATTCATTCATCCATTCATTCACTTTAATTTGACCAGAGAGGGAGAGGGAGAGGGAGAGAGGGAGGGAGGGAGAGGGAGAGGGAGAGGAAGGGAGGGAGGGAGGGAGGGAGAGAGAGAGAGAGAGAGAGAGAGAGAGAGA